TAACGGGGTTGGCCCACCTACGTATACGGTGTACAGTGTCTGAACGATTCATTACTAAGGTATCGGTATTCACCTAGCTGAGGTTGTGCAGGGGTCGAGTCCTAGCTCCTGGTCCCGCCTCTTCACTGGTCGCTACTAGGTCACTCTCCCTGAACCGTGAGCTTTATCATACCTCTGCTTAAAGCTATGTATGGATCCTGCCTCCACTACATCGCTTCCCAAACTATTCCACTTCCTGACTACTCTTTGGCTGAAGAAATACTTCCTAACATCCCTGTGATTCATCTGTGTCTTCAACTTCCAACTGTGTCCCCTTGTTGCTGTGTCCCATCTCTGGAACATTCTGTCTTTGTCCACCTTGTCAATTCCTCTTAGTATTATGTATGTCGTTATCATGTGTCCCCTATCTCTCCTGTCCTCCAGTGTCGTCAGGTCAGTTTCCCTTAACGTCTCCTCGCAGCACATACCTCTTAGCTCTGGGACTAGTCTTGTTGCAAACCTTTGCACTTTCTCTAGTTTCTTTACGTGCTTGGTTAGGTGTGGGCTCCAAACTGGTGCCGCATACTCCAATATGGGCCTAAAGTACACCGTTTACAGGGTCCTGAACGATTCCTTATTAAGATGTCAGTGTTTGTGTGTGTGTGTTGTGTTGTGTTGTGTTGTGTTGTGTTGTGTTGTGTTGTGTTGTGTTGTGTTGTGTTGTGTGTGGTGTGTGTACACATGGGTCACAATAACAAGCCATAATACACACCTTATCGTAGAGAACGATCCAGCAATCGTTGTAGGTATCATGACTGGCAACTTCGCTCAGAGAGATGATGTTAAGACCAGACTCTTCATCCTTCTGGCGTTCACGCCCCGGGCAAGAGTCAGTGGTGACGCAGGGGTCGCGGTAGCCAAGAGTTTGAGATGCAAACTCAAAGACCTGAGTAGAGAAGTTAATGATGGCCTTAGTCTGACGCATGTAGAGAGGCAGCCCACCGTGTGATTCTTTCATCCTGGCTCCTGCAGGTAAGACAACTTGGTTAAGGACAGGAAGAAAGTGTTTTTAATTATTTAAATACGTATTTGCTCTTTATACATGGAGAATATAATAAAAAACAGATTAAATTTTGTCTATGTCAGCCTTGCACCAAGGCCTTCTGCTGAAGCTAGCACGGACTGCTGAAGCTAGCACGGACTGCTGAAGCTAGCACGGATTGCTGAAGCTAGCACGGACTGCTGAAGCTAGCACGGATTGCTGAAGCTAGCACGGACTGCTGAAGCTAGCACGGATTGCTGAAGCTAGCACGGATTGCTGAAGCTAGCACGGACTGCTGAAGCTAGCACGGACTGCTGAAGCTAGCACGGACTGCTGAAGCTAGCACGGATTGCTGAAGCTAGCACGGATTGCTGAAGCTAGCACGGATTGCTGAAGCTAGCACGGATTGCTGAAGCTAGCACGGATTGCTGAAGCAAGCACGGATTGCTGAAGCTAGCAAGATCTGCTGAAATATGCAGTATTTAAGTTATTTTCAGTTTTATTATTACAGTTAGAATTCGTTTGTGTGATATATTCTGCGTGTAATTACAATGTCACAACTTGAACATTCAATACTCTAATAAACAAGTATTAGATAAAATAATCCATCTCATTTTTTTTTTGTTTTTTACGGCAGAGCCAACACGTCAGAACCGAAAGGTCCTGATTTTGATTCCCCAAACATGATGAGAACTATGGGCAAAGTTTGTCTTCACAGCTGTTGCGGGGGTGTTAGTCAACTGTTGTGGGTCGCATCCTGGGCAGTGGTATATTCCAGAGTCAGGCTTTGAAATAGGCCAAGTTACACTAACGGCCCAAGTCCTATAAAAATGGACCGTGTAAAAAAAATTAGAGGGAAATTTACCAATAAGTGGTCGACTTCAGCTGGTGTACACATTAATAAACTTGCCGAAGTTCACTTATAAACTGGTCTAAAATCTTCCGAAGAATTAATAACCTATCTTAAATAAACTCGTTCCCGCTTTTACACTTAAAAACTTTGCTAAGTATTATACACTGGAAACCGATACTATTTATAACCGCTGGTTGTCCACTGACCACATTCCAAGAGGATATCGACTTCTACATTAGTAGTAAACAATTTAAACAAAGCCAGCATTTATCTCGATGTTAACAACACATTTCAGTCACTGCAAGAAGCAATCTGCTGATACCAACCTTTCTGTCTGGAAAAACTTCGAAATGATTGTATTGGGAGGTGTGTGAGACAACGACTGGTGGAGGTGCTGTGTGTAGTGCCTCTCCTAGCTCACTGAGTAAGTCGTTGTTCCTCACCCCGTTAAATACTATCATGTGGGTGACGACACTCTGAGCTGGGTTGCAAGACACGACTCGGCTCCTCCCACCAAACACACCCAGCAACCCTTCACCTCTCTGGTCGTCCAAAACCGTAGTGACTAGACTATGACTGGGAAAGTCAGATGCCGAATTCTTGTTTACTTATATTCATACGTAACGAAATGACAGGGAGAAAAATGTTAGCAGGTCGAGTGTATTTACCTGGTGGTTACACCAGGTTAGAATCCACGTGAGGAATCCTGTGCCCTGGGCTGGGTATAATACCCCAACCGACTAAAACACCAATAGGAGACGAGTAAGCAGGGGGGTGGCACACTCCTGATTGGTCAGACTAACATCGTACTATTTGGAACACTTCCAAACTTGCGAAAGTAGTTTTATGAGTGTAACGCGACACAGGGGTGACGCACACTGTTTACACTTCATAGAATGAGAAAGTACACTTCATACGCAAAAACAAAATTTTTTACAGGGGGATGGGGGCACCCCAGCTCAGGGGTGAGGGCATGTGGCGCTGCATTGAGGGGTTCATGTGTACACATTGGTTTTTCCCTGCCTAACCACCCTAGGGGGGAAAGAAATTTTCCCCTTTCGCAATATTCGGGAAAAATTCGTACTTAGGACAACTTCATTTAACAAACCAACACTTAACTTAAAAAATTTTCGAAATGACAGATTGCAAAAAAACCCATACCCCCGGACGGCTGGAGTTTTGGGGACCCCTTATGCCCGCGGTTCAATCCCGGCCGGGGTAGGGTTTTCCCCAACACTTAATTTTTTTTCCTTTAAAATTTCCCAAACCGGGATTCGGGCTGGAGAGGTTTTCGGGGTAAAGGGCCCCCCACGGCCCGGGTTTTGGGGCCCAGGCCTCGTGGTGGATCAGGGGGCCTGTAAACCGGGGCTGTTTTTTGCTGGCCGCACGAAAACCAACGTAAAAACCACGCCCCGGCTGATGGGGTTTACAAGGGGGCCTGTCCAGCCCCTTTTGAAAAACACCCATGGGGTCTATTAGAAACCCCTTTTAAATGTAAAACTGGGAGCATTTAAACAATTTTGGGGGCCCTGGCACTTTTTGTTTTTGTCTCCCGCGAAACGCTTTGGCGCCCTTTTTTTTTCACGGGGGGAAATTTTTTTTTTTTGGGGCTTTCTCCTGCCGAGTCTTGCTTTCGTAAAGGGGTGTTTTTCGTGCGCGGGCCTTGGGTATTAATCCCTCAAAGTTTTTTAAAAGGTGTATATTATCATGCATCTTTCTCGTCTGCATTCCAGGGAATAAAAAATCAAGGGACAAAAAACCGTTTCAGTAATTTATGAGCCTATTCGTACTTATATGTCCCGGTAAAAGGATCTCTTTTACATTTTTCCAGGTCGGGCAATTTGGGCCACCCCTTGAAGATGGTAGTTAGGGTACAACAATATTACAGCCTAGAGGGGAAAAAAGGGGTTTTGAAGAGAATAAATTCACGGCCCTTTGGCGTCCCTAGTTTTGAAATTAAAATTTTCAAAAAAAATTTTCAAAGTTTTTTCTCTATAAGGATTAAAAAGCTGATTTACAGGTTTTGGTTATTGTGGGGTTTTACATGTAGTAAAATAATTACAGAGTGTACCACAAAAAAACCCCTAGCATGGCGGGAAATTTTTCGGGCGGATTAGTTTAAAATTTTTAAAGTTTAAAAATTTTAAAAAAAATTAAATGAGGTAATTTTGGGTATTATGGCTAATTTGACTAAATACTATTTGTGAGTTTAGCAATGTGAAGTTTTTGGGTTTTGGCATGTACAAATTTTCAGTTTTGGGGTATCACGGGCCCAAAACTTCTGATTTATTAAGATTCATTATTTTGAGTTTGGGAGATTGGGGATTTCTGTTTATGGTCAAAGGGGGTGAGTGAGTGTAAGGGGTGAACCAACCAGGGGGTATTTATTATTATTTGCCCAAGGGGTATCAGGGGATAAGATTTTTTCTGAGGGAATTTTTGAAGGTAAATGAATTTTGTCGCAGTTTTATTTTTTCAGTAGGGTGTTCCAGATTTTAGGGCCTTTGACCATAAAATTGAATTTTGAAAAAGGGTTTTATGGGACAGGGGGGGATGTCATGGGAAAATTTTGTGTTTTGGTGTTATGCCGTGGGTTCTTCAAAAACAATCAAGAAAAAAGTTTTTGGGTTTAAAGTTAATTTTGGGAAATTTTTTAAGGTCCTGTAATGTAGTTTGGGCCACAGTAGTAAGTGTGGATGTATTTGGAAAGGGGAAAGGTTAAGTTTAGATCTATGAAGGGGGGGGGGGTGTTTCCGGGGAGGGGAAATTAGTGTTATTCTTACGGGGCGGCTTTTTTTTGGGGTTATTATTGATTTAGGTGTTTTGGGCGGGGCAGTTAAACCCCCCCAAGAACAGATAGAAAAGGGTGAGGTTGGTTTATATAAGTAAAGGGGTATAGTGGAAAAGGGGCATTTTGGGCGGCACATAGAAATCGTATTTTGGAGGGGACCCCAAAACCGTTTTGGTACTTTTTTGGTTATGTGTTGGATATGGGGGGTTTGAAGTTAAAGGTGTTTTTTCGAAGTATGGGGGCCTTTGGGGAATTTGCCCTCATTTTTCCCTGGCAATTAGGTGTTGTCGATCTTAATTTAAAATTTTGGCGCTTTTTCCCCTCTCTGCAAACCCAAACAAAAATGTAGTAGGTTTTATCAGTTTTAAAGGGGGCGTAATTTTATTGGCTTAAATTAAAGTCGATATTTTGATAAAGTCCTCATTAACAAGGGTTTGTTGAGGGTGGAAAGATTAGGGTGAGAGATGACATAAGTCGTGTCGTCAGCAAAGAAAATGGGGTTCGGGTGTTGAGAAAAACTTTTGGGAAGATCATTGTTTTAATGGGGGAAGGGGCGGGGAAACCCGGGGGGAAACATTTTCCCCCGGGGCGGAAACCCAGATCAAGTGGCTGTGTTGTTAAAGCTGTGTTTTTAATGGTGACATACTGATACCTATTAGAAAGGGGAAAGATTTAAAATTTATGAACCGCAGGGCCCCCTCTTAAAACCCAAAAATGGTCAATTTTGTGGAGTAGGATGCCGTGGAAATTATTGTGCAAATGCTTTTCTTGGGTCAATAAAAATTCCAAAGGGGAAAATTTTTCCCTTTTTTTCCCCAATGCTGTGTAAAGGCAGGTCAAAGCATTTTTGTTGGGCATCGTTTTGTTTTTTTTTTTCCTTTTGAATCCCAAAAATTGGCAGGGGTTGGTATTTTTTTGTGCCTTTAAAAAATGAATATAGTTTTCCTTTTGTGCACGAGTTTCTCAAAGTTTTTGGGATGGGGCAAGGGTAAGTTTGATTTTGGGCCTATATTTGGGTTTAAATCTGTAGGGTCACCACCTTTATGTATTGGTGTGGGCCCCTTTTCCGTTTTGAGTTTTTTGGGGAAAGGTGCTAGTTTTAGTGACTTTTAAAAATTTAATGAGATAGCATGAAAAAGAGGACATGGGCTGTTTCTCTTGTACAATAAGGTGGGACATGAGACAGTTCCCTGAGTTATTTTTAAGTGACTTTAAAATCTCGGGGGAACTTCCGGGGGGGCTCAGTGGGGGAAAGATAAAAGGAAATTTTGGGGAAAATTTCCCCATCTAGGTAGTTCCCGGGGCATGGGCTTGGTACGGGGGAAAAAAATTTTAAATTGGCGAATTAGAACCTATGGTGGGGAAGAAGTCTTTTTCTTTTAGCTGTTCAGGGGGATGCAGTGCTGTTTAAATTGGGTTTTATTTTTAGGAAAAAATTCTTTTTTTTTTTCGTTTGTGGGTCCCTAGAATCGAGAGAGTTTTTTTCCGGGTTTTTTTTTATTTTCTCCTTTCTTGTGTGGGTAAATCAAATTTGGGATTGAAAGTTGTTTGGCTTTCTTTATTATTTTTGGTGAGGATTTATGAAAAATGTTTAAAAAATATCTTTGTGTTTTAAAAGCCCCTGTCTATATTTCTTTTCATATTGGTGTTTCTTATCAATGGTTTTTCCAAAATGGGTGCTTTCCCCCACCCACGGGCAACCCAAGGGCCTTTTGTTTGTGTTTGTTTCTTTTTTAAATAGGACAATGTTTGTTGTAAAAGTCTAAGTAATTTGTTAAAGAAAAATGTCTGTCCGGTCATCGTACCTTTGGGGGCCTTGGAGAATTCTGTAGGGGCCGGGTAAAACAGTTTTCTGGGTCGGGCTGTAAAAATTTTTATTGGGGCCCCTCGTAAAGGGAGTCTAAGTGGGGATTTGTTTTTATTAAATGGGGGTTTTGCAAAATGTTTGTCAGGGGGAAAGGGTTTAAGGGTAGGGGTTGTAGGGGGCCTATCTGTATTATCCCTGATTTAAAGGGGGGCAAAAGTATTTTGGGTTTCCATATGGGGTTTCTATTAGGGTTGCACTTGTTTCAGTGAGCCGGGTTTGGTTTAGTTAATTTTGGGTATGAAAGTGTGTTGTTCATATTGGGTTTATGAAATCAGTTACAGGTGATCATCTAGTAGGCCCCAAAGGGGGGGTGTTGAAGTCTCCAGGCTAAGAGGGGGTGGTTTCTTATTTATTTGTCTTTTTTTGTTATTAGTGCCTTTAAAATTTTCACTTTTAAATTTGGGATTTTGGCGGGGGATCCGGGAAATGGGGACCCATTGTTATAAAGGGGTCTTAAGGGTTTTTTTAAAAGTTTAAAAATTTGGGAAAAATGTATTTTCCCCATATTCTCACTAAAGGGGGGAATGGGGCTAATACAAAATAATTTGGGGGGAGTAATAGATTGCAAAAAACACCCCCAAAATTGGTTTGGTTTTGGGGAGTTTGAATTGCTGTGTATCCTGGTAGGGGGGTTGATATCTTTTTGTGTCCGCTTAAGCCCGGTCTTTATTTAAAAATAAAAGGGAGGGAGAGGGTGTCTTTAGTGATTCCCAAAAGGGGGGGCCCGGAGGTCACCATAGTGGGTTTGGGTTAAGGGGCCTGATGTTGGGAGTTAAGTTTCTGATAGACTTTTTAAACAATTTTTTAGGATATTG